CGGCCCAAGGCTGGAGGCAGCCCAGCGCAGGCCTGGTACGCGGTGGCGTGACCGCCGCGGGGCGGGGAGGGGGGCTGGGTCAGTTCGAGGCTGCATAGGCCCTGGCCAAGGCCTGCCGGACGTGGGCTCCAGTCCCAGCCCCACCATGCCTTTAAGTGCTTGGTGCCTCACTTTCCCCATCTCTAAGATGGGGTTAAGAATGTGCCTACCTGATGGTGGTTCTGAGAAGATTCACTAATTATGAGTCAGGGGTCTATGGGATTTCCTTTGGGCAAAAAGACCCATAAATGGGGCAGTGTCTTCTCGGGAGCCTTTTTTAGTACAGGGCTGGGCACTCAGCAAGGGTTTCATAAATGTTACTATTATTCCTCATGTACACATATGACATTTTCATTTGTTGCCATCTCCACCAGAACGTCTGCCCCACAAGGGCAGGCGCTGGCGTCTGTTGTCAGTTCTGTGTCCCTGGCACCCAACTTAGTCTCAGTGCCTGTCAAAGATCAGGGTGTGTGGATAGACTGCTTTCATGACATGGATCCCAAGGACCATAACACACAGGCTGCTTATAAAAACCATTTTAAATTAAAAAAGGTAAGAACTATCAGTGCACAGGCAGAAACAGACAGGGACAGAAAGCCCGGGCCCACGTGCAGCGTGGTCACCCCACAGCCAAGTGCATGGTGGTACGAACTCCCATAAAGACAGCTGTGGCAAGGGAGCGGGTTGCTCTGGGAGTGGCTTCAGGCACTTGGGGCTCAGAGTTCAGCCTTCCGGAAGCTCGCTCTGTTCAAAGAGTTCCTAGGGGAGGAATGAGGCGGGTCAACATGGCCACAGGGCCCCCAACCCCATAGTACTCCCAGCCCACTCCCACCCTCTTCCAGAGTTCCTTCTAGAATCTTCCCTGCTCCTTTCATATCCATTCTGATCCGGCTGTGGATTCACAGATACTCTGTTGAAACCTATCACTGGGGGTATGACTCGTGCCCATTTTACAGATGTAGAAACCAAGGTTCAGAAAGATGAAGTTGCATGTCTGGGAACTGACCCAACAAAATCTGACATGGCTGCCCAGAGCATGCATTTGTGCACACGTCCTAGTTGTCACATGCTTGTGTAAAAGCCAAGTGTGCGTGTTAATGCGCAGGACAGCCCCCATCCCGTGCCTGTCTGTGCCTGCCTCCTCTTGGTGTCTCTAGGGTGGGGGGCGTGGGTCAGGCACCTGAGGCCGGCAGTGGATGGTGCTAGCAGCTGGGGCAGGCGCTGGGTGAGCAGGGGCTGCAGAGCCTCCCGCAGGCGGCCGTAATTGCGCTCCAGCTCACGGTGGTACTCCTTCTGGTCCGGCCCAATCAGAGCCTTGTTCTTCCTCAGTGCATCCTCACACCTGAGGGCCAGATGGCAGGAGGTGCTCAGGGACTGGCACTCAGGAGAGAAAGCAAGACCAGAGGTGGGGTGTCCATGAGGTGGGGTCAGGAGCTAGAATGGAGGGGCTCTAATGGGTGAGGTGAGGCCTACTTTTTGCAGAAGTCCTTAAAACAGAGTCGCAGCTTGTTGTGATGCCTGAAGAGCTTGGGATCTTCTGGGATCTCTGCCAAAAATACTTGGGCCACCTCTAGGGGACCCTGTGGGGAGAGAGGGGCTTATGAGGGTGTCTGCATGGCCCCTGGGGGACCTGCACGGCCCCTGGGCAGCCTGCATCCCCCACCAGCCATGCCTGGTTCACAGTGGGCCCAACAGAGCCTTGTAGCACCATCTGCAGCATCTTGGCATCAGGCGGGTCCTGCTCGGTGGCAAAGGCCAGCTCCCGTGTCTTCTTCTGCATATCTTCGATGGCCACCTCCACTGGTGTCAACACTGTCTGCAGGGTTGGGGGATGGCATGCACTGGCTGGGGCCTGAAGATAGCCTGACCCAGGCCAGCACAAAGCAGCTAGGGTGGGAGGGGGTCCAAGTGGCTGTGTAATGAGCAGTGTCTGGGGACTCCTGCCTCTCTGGGTGTGGCAAGGTCAGGGGCCTGGCTCGGCTGCTTTTGTCTGGCTCTGGGGTCTTTGGTTTGGTTGTGGTCAGCTGGGTCTGGAGGCAGAGATTTAAGGCTACAGATTTGGGTCTGGAGGTTGGAGTTTGGAGACCCCTCCCCTCCCAGACCCTGGTCTGGGCCCCCGCCCACCTCCTCCCGATGGCACACGTGGATGCGAGTCTTGATGTAAGGGAAGGCGTGGTCCGTGCTCAGCAGTGTCTTGCGCTTGTGCTGTTCATGCAGCTCCCCGTGTGCACGCCCGTCGGGTGTGAAGGGCGTGCAGAACAGAAAGGTGCGCAGCCCGTAGTTGCGATCGAAATAGGTCACCCGGTCCTTAAGCTCATAGGTGTCAAAATGCGGTTCCACATACGTGATCTGGATGTAGGCCTGGGGCACAGGGCTCAGGTGTGAGGTTCCCACAGCTCTAACATATCCCCCCGGGGCTCACCAAACTCCCAGTGGGACCCCAACCCTGGAGAAAGGGGATTTGGGCCTCCATGGATCTGGGGGCTTTGCATCTGGGGTTCCCAGGTCTCTCTACATCTGGATGTTTGAGAATCCCAAGGTTAAGGATTTGGGGGTCCCCGAGGGAGATAAGCTTTGGAGTTTCCCAGAGAAAAAGGATTTAAGGGTCCCTAGGAAAGAGTACTTGGAGTCTCCCTAAATATAAGATTTTGGGGACTTCAGGGAGATGGTCAGGAGCCCTCACCTTCTGGGGGTCGAGCTTGGTCTTGTCCACAGGGTTTGAATCTTTGACAATCTCGACTACATCCTCCCCAAATCTCTCCGTGTAGAACTCCTGGGGACACCAGGCTGACTCGGGCTGCACAGGTACAGCCCCCACTCCACCCCAGGGCAACCCCATGCCCACCCTCTCCCCACCACCATAACGTGCCTCCAGCCGGTGGGAGATCTCTGCCAGCTTCGTGATGGATGGCTCCTTGTACACAAACTCCTGCTCATCCAGGTCACCGAAGCGGGCGCCATAGAAACCCACACGGAAGTATGTTCCAAAAACGCGCTGAGGCTACAGGAAGGGGCGTTGTTGCCTGAGGCCCTGGGAGAGGACCCCCTGCCCCAGAGGTCCTTGGGCCCCACATGTGAAAGAGGCGGACATGGGCAGAGTGAACCCTGAAAGTACTGAGGCATGGACCCAAATGACTGCCCTTGCCCACGCCCTCACTCTTTCTCCCTAGCTTCTGTCTCTTACCTTCCCCAAATCTTTATCATTTAACAAGCCCCTAGTTTCTGTTTCTCCCTCTCACCCCATGCAGCTCTTCAGAGCCTGGATCCCAGTATGAAAAGACTGGGGCTGTACTGCTCACAGCTGTGTCCTTAATGCCTATGGGGCTGTGTATACAGCAGATGTTCAATAAATGCTCAGGACAGAAGCTCTGGCTCCCTTGTTCCAGGGCATCCTCCCCCCGCAGCCTCCCCTGGAAGGCTGGGGACCCCCGCCTCCACCAGAAAGGAAGGGGGTGGTTGCCATGTTCACTCACCAAGGCATATCCGGATGGGGTGGGGCAGGCACCAGGAGATGGGTTGGGGAGCAGGGGCAGAGAGATAAAGTCATGAGAGAGGTCAAAGGTCGGAGCCCCCAACCCTCAGGGTCCTGGTTATGCTGCCCCATGAGAACCATCCCAGGGTTAGAGATGAAAGATCCAGTGAGGGAGGGGACCTGCCCGCCCCACCCAGCCCACACCCAGCCTGCCTGCCTCAGCTCTGGTTTCTTGCCATCTTTGGCTAGAAAATTCTCCCCAAACTAGGAGATGCCTAAAAATAGACCCAAGTGGGGGAGAGGCGGGAGTAGAGGATCATTAAATGGCAATGAGGAGCAGAGATCCTGGGGGAAGCTGGGGAGACAGGGAGAGAGAGACCAAGAGAGACAGGGTGGGAATGACCAAGAGAGGGAGAGAGAGAGACAGGGGAAGATGGA